TTGGGAGGGTCACAGGCGCTTGTTATAGCTCCCGCCTGCTTCTGGCCGGGGCTGCGGAAGCAAGCGGATGTTAGCGGAAACGGCAGAAACAACGGCGGATGCGGCGGAAGTCGACGGGAAAGTTGGCGGAAGCAGGCGGAAGCAACACGAAGTGGAAGCAGCCGGAAGCTAACGAATACCTGCAAATCCCGAGCGCCACAAGTAACGATCGCACAGGACTACAAGTTCCCCAAGCCGCACAAGCTCGACTGGCGCCAGACCAGACAGGCTCGCCGCACCGAGCTCGCCAAGGAGTACGCGATCATGAACTGCGAGCAGATCGTCAGGGGCGACGCCCTCGAGCTGGGCACAGCGGACGCGCTGCTGGGCGAGATCGAGGAGCGCGCGGGCGCCCCCGAGACCGTTCTGGCGGTCGAGCCCACGGCGGCCGTCGCCTGGGCTCGACAGGGCCAGGGCGAGGACGCGCCCGCCGCCCAGCAGCCCGAGGAGCAGAAACGCTGGGCCGAGAGCGTTGACAAGGCCCAGCACGCGCTGGTCTGCGTGCACCCCAAGGCGCCCGCGCATTACACGTACCTCAAGGTCGGCGGTTGCTATTGCCCCTCCCACTAGGCGCCCCCGGCGTTCCGTCCCGGTTTGGAGCGAAACCCGGAGGCGCCCCAGGCAGGGGTCACTTGTGGAAATCCCCGCCAAGGTGGGGCGTCGCGTCGGAGTGCCGCGACGCCCTCAACCGGCCGTCCGAGAACGCAAAGCAGGCCCGAAGAGGGCCACGCGCGAACTCACACCTACGCCCCGCGATTTCTGAGGGGGGAGGTAGGGCTCACTTTGCTCGGGAACTGCCGAACGAAGCGCACCCCGCCCTCCTTCAGAAATCGCGGGCAGGGCCCGCGCGTGGCCCCCCAGGGCCGCCGCGAGAATCCCCCGCAAGCTCAGCGCCATTGGTCCTGGCGACAGTTGCCCAGCACCGAGCGACAAAACGTGCAGAGCAGACGGTCGGAGCTGCGGCCTGTGGACGAGCCGCTGGATCGAGCGCGCCCTGCGCGAGATCCGAGGCGAGGACCGCCAAACGCCCGCGAGCCCAAGCACTCTGCGCGCGCGAGGCAACGAGTTTATCAACAAGCTCACGGAGGCCAGCGACAACGACCCGGCGACGGGCAAGGCCAAGGCCAAGGCCAAGCACAAGTCCAACCCCTGCAAGGACCCCGCGGCGGCCGAGCCGAAGCACGCCACCTTCGAGGAGGCAAGCGCCGCCGCCCAGCGTTGCACCAAGTGTCTCCCGTGCAGGGGGCGGTTCCAAAGCACGCCGCGCATGCGAGGGGGAGTGGTTCGAAGTCCAGCGCAAGAGAGGTTTCTTGGCCAGATCGGCCAAGGACCTTTCTTGCGCCAGCAAAATGTAGGCACGAGCCTTGAGGTCAATCGAGTCAGTCTTGCGCCAGCGCCTGCTGGCAAGTTGCATAGCCACGAGCCTCGAGCTCGAGTCAGCCTTGTGCCGAGCGCCTGCTGGCAAGTTGCATAGCCACGAGCCTCGAGATCTCTCGAGTCAGCCTTGTGCCGAGCGCCTGCTGGCAAGTCGCATAGCCACGAGCCTCGAGATCTCTCGAGCGAGCCTTGCGCCGAGCGCCCAGGATCACCACTATCATCATCATCGCCATCGCCATCAGCATCATTATCTTCATCCCAGGGAACATCTTGTATTATCCCCGCCAGAACCACGAACTTTGCTATCCCCCGGTAATTATTATCGCCCGCGGTCGGTTAATTTTCAAATCATCCACTGATCGGGGCCTTCTCAAGTGTAATTCTTCAGTTCCCTAATCAGAGTTTGCACTGGAGGGGCCCCAGCGGAAGTTGGAAGATTCGGCGAAAGTTTCCCGCCAACTTTTGGTAGCAGGCTGGGTTCTTGGGTTCCCGGCTCCGGGTTCCCAGGTTCCGGGTCATTGGTTCTGGCCCGATGTCAGTGGGTTCTGCGTTCCCGGGCCCCTGGGTTCCCGGTCGATTTCCTCAGCGAAAACCATCCGTTGATTAGGGTGTTTGTCTGGTGTAATATATACATGTGTCCGTAGGGGTTCGCCTCCCTTTTTCGGATAATGGGGTACGCAGAGCTACGTGAAGGCCTTCGCGCAACGCATGTGGATCTGTCCGCGCGGGAAGCCCGAGCGCCGAGCGGCGCTGCAGCCAGAAGGCTTCTCTGCAAAGGCCACCCGCGCCTGCCCGCCTCCCGAGACAGCGCGCACCTGCGTCCTGAACTGGAGTCCCCGCTTGGCGGTCCTCGCGGAGGAGGCCTGGCTGCCCTTGCCGCTGCCCGCGCTCCCCGACCCGCTGGCCAGCTTCTAAGGCAGCGCCGCAGCGCAGGCCGCGCGACTGGACGGACGGTTCCTGCGCGCGCCCAGGCGAACCTTTCCTCGCCAGGGTTGGCGGCTGGGGTGTCCACCCACGTGGACCGCCACGGCCCTGTTAAGGTCCGCAAGCCGCGCAGCGCGCAGAGGAATGGGCGCGCGTGCAG